AAATAATACTAAACTGCATAAACGGTATATTTTTTCGCGTTAATCCGATCCATAATGTGTCAGAAATCTACAAAAAACGGGCAAATTGGTTGAAAGGGAACAGAACATCCTAAATTCGTTGAGTAAAAATGACAGAAGAATCCTAAAAATGTTCAAATTTTGGGATTTTCGTAGAAAATTACACTTTAACTTCAAAAGTGCCCTTCCTCGATGGAAAACTACTGACTACCCTTGTTAACCCTTGGTTGGTGACCTCATCACCTCATTAGGATGACGCCAGCTGACATATAGGGCACCACAGTAAAGCGAGAGAGATACTAGAGGTGGAATGACCAACCGAGGGTTAAAAACCATCCTGAATTGTGGAAGGGCGTAATTCCCAGATAATTCCGATGCATCTTGAGTGGCGATGAAGTTATTGAGTGTCATTATATTTTCTCCTACGGACTATTCAGTGTGAATCCATGAAGTTCCATTTAATATTTATAATAAAATGATTTCATGAAAGAACGTTCTCAATACGTGAATTTCTTGTGACAAGATTTTGAAAAAACACCATTCACCTAAAAACTAATAAAGCATGATTGGAGTGAGGTCCAGTTTCATTCCAAACTGCAGCATTTTCTATCTCGATTTACGCTCTTCTACAATGGATGATGGCTTTTAACAAGAGTCATCCCTAGTTGTCCTTCGAGAAAGGGTTTTTTTCAAGTTACATTGAAATCCAGTAGAGGGTAACACGCATGTGATGGTTAATTTGAACTAGGCACTGATCGAGGTGCTCGTAGCCAACGTCCGGTGATGTAATTTTCTCAAAAAATCCCAAAATTTGAAATTTTGTAGGATTTCGTTCACTCATTTTTACTCAATGAATTAAAAAAGAGACCAGTCCATTATTCAAATCAAAATTTTGTCACATCGCCTGCGGCTCGGCTGAAATATACTATTCCACATTTCGCAGAAAATCCATAATTGTCGAAATAATTGAGTAATACAAAAGAAAATGCTGACCCTGAACAATTTCAATTTTTAAACTGTACAAATTTTTCACAAGTTATTGACGAAGCAAATGTCAGAAAAATTTTTCAGAAAAGAGAAAGTTTGGGAAGGAAAATCTTACATTTTTCACTCACATGCTCTATTTTCTAACTAAATCGCTGAATTCATATTGAGAAGAAAATCGAGGTGCACCGCGTGGACTCAGCTCCTCAGACATTCTATTCTCCTGATACTTCCCGTGACTCACGAGCTCCAAACGAGTTTCGACGGGATTTGGACGGAATATGGACGTTTCGAAACTGAGGAAATTTTTCACTGAGGAAATGTCAGAGATGTCACCGAGATACGTAAAAAGTGGTTCTAACCTTGAGAACAATTTGAGGAATTGCAAAAAGTGACCATAATCAGAACTAAAAAAAATTTTTTCAAAAAGAAAATGTAGTTTCTTTGAATCCCGGAAAAAATAGACCATGGANAAAAGTGACCATAATCAGAACTAAAAAAAATTTTTTCAAAAAGAAAATGTAGTTTCTTTGAATCCCGGAAAAAATAGACCATGGAAAAAAAGAGACCAAGGGAAATTTTTAAGTTGGGTGGGTTTTAACACGTTTTGGGTGTGTGGGCTCTTTTTTCGTGGTCTATTTTTTCCGCCTACCGTTTTAAACGTCGTAGGTTACTGGAGTGAGACTTTTCATACGTTGAAGATCGATTATACAGATCTGAAAACGAATAATTAGTGCAAAAAAAAATGTTTTTTTTGTTCGTTTGCCCGAAAACGCTTAAAATGCTAAAAATAGTCCAGGGCCTCCAAATTTTGAGCTACTAGTATCTTATGTCATAAGGCGATAAAAGTAGAATAGAATATAGAATTTTATCTCATTGGTGCTACAATTACTGTTTTACACCTACACAAGCCTCTCCTTCTCAACACAATAATAACATGAATAGATAAATACAAAATACAAAAATTGCTTTAGGTATTAACCTAATAGCAGCCAACATACAGAATACCTAATATATAAAACAAACAGATATTGCCAGAAAACAGTGCGGACCTATGCCATCGTCACTCCCCTCCCCGCGATTCACGAGTAAGAAAGCACTTAATAAATGAATAATATATATTAAGAAACATTTTTAAGACATCGCGACGAAATTCAAGAAAATTTTCGCGAATTGGCAACAATGACAAATTCTGCAGACGTGTCCGTTTCCGATGTCCCATCCTGCCACTGATTCGGCTCCCTCTGCATCGCCCATGTCTTCCGACGTCACTCTCGTGCCTTTGCTTCTCTTTAGCCCACTTCGCGCTACTCCGCTCGCTGTTTCCAAGCCTCCCTCACTGACCAAAAGTTGTCGCCTGTAATGCTTTTATAACTGCCAAATTCTTCAAAAATTTGCATTTATTCTCATGGCAGAACTATCAATCACAGCCACCACTTCCTCTAGCTCTCACTTTCCTCTTCATTTATAGTGGAGGTAAATTCTTTTTTCTGGTCGTAGCCTCTGTGTATGCGTGTTCAGCCTCTATTCCATTTCTATCTCTAAATCGTATTGTTAAGAAAGCCCAGAGAACATTTACCATACCATTGGGCACATGCCCACCTCATGCCGCCATCTTCCGCGATAAAATATAAGTATTATCTGGCGAATGTGGCTTTATACTCCGAGCCGAAGGCGAGGATTCTAGTTACATTCGCCAGATAATGCTTTTATCGCCGTATGATATACGCTATTTCATGTCGTTGGGCCCGAAATAAAAAATCATGTTATCGGGCCTAACGACATAAAAAAGATTTTTTTTTCAAAATTTTCGGAAAAATATATGGAACAACAATTACGAGCCAGTTTTTTGCAGTTCGACTCCTACACAGCTGATTTCGTTTTTTCTTTTTCATATTAAAAAATTCACTATTTATGTAAAAAAATACAAATAAAGCCAATTTAGCCATGTAAGAGGTGAATTAAAAAAAACTAGCTCGTTATTGTTATTCCACATATTTTTCCGAAAACTTTGAAAAAAAATCATTCGTAGCTCAAAAATTGGAGGCCCTGGACTTTTTTTTAGCATTTTAAACGTTTTCGGGTAAACGAACAATAAAAAATTTTTTTTGCACTAATTATTAGTTTTCAGATGTATATAATCGATCTTCAACGTAGGAAAAGTCTCACTCCAATAACCCACGACTTTGAAAACTCACAGTTAGTCCATACGCTAGGCCCCCTCCCTTCCTGTATGCACTGGTATGTCCGGGGGATTTTACGGTGTTTTTTCATATTTCTGGGGGTGAGGAATCCGAATCCGTCAGTGTTTTTTGCCTAAAGTTGTGCACACCCATTGTTATTAACAATTTTTGGGTACTGTTCGCACAAAATCGGCGTTTTCGCGATAACCATGATATTTATCGTAAAAATACCTTCCATCAACTTTATTCCCTACATTTCAACGAACAATTTCGTTTTTGATTTTTTGAAAAATTAGGTCGACAGTTATGCTCATTTGTTTATAAGCGCCGTGCGCTACGACGTCGTCCACCGTTCGCGCGCACCTCCACTCACAAAAAATCTCCCATTTTCCCTACGGGAGAACAAAAGCTTAAATATATTTTCACAACACTAACTAGCCGCAACAATTTCAGATGGTTACTGCCACCTTCATGGTTGCTATCATAACTCCAATGTTTCGAATACTTCGCAAGAGCGGGTATACATGTTTTCTGTCCAAATTTCAAGTTGATATCTCGATTTTTTCCGCAAGCTAGAGAGTTTACAAAGTTTTTTGTGAAAAATTGGAAAAACTGGAATATCTCGAAAACTTTGTATCAACGGGTATATATGTTTTGATTGATTTAGGCAGAAGGCATTGAAACGAATGTTTTGAAATTTAAAAAAAGTAGAATCAGTTGCATAGTTTTGAAGATATTCCACGTAAAAGATTTTCAGAAAAAGTCAAATCTCTCCGAAACTCTTAATGCGATTGAACCCATCTTCAATACGAAACATTGATATCATGAGAGAAAGATTCTGTTCAAATTTCAAGTTGATATCTCGATTTTTGCACAAGATAGAGTATTTACAGTGTTTAACCCATTGAGGCACCATCGTCCGTCCCCACTCTACAGCTACGTGCGGTACGGCGGGAGTGGGGATGGCGCGCTTAGGCACGTACGTTGAGACACCGTTCAAAAATCCTGGGTTCTTATGGTTAGGATTAGAAAGGTGGAAATAATTTATTTCATATTTTTTTTATTACACGCACATTTTGAGAACCAATCTATTTGAATCCAATGACCACTTTTATTTGAAGGGGCACTTTCTGAAGATAATATTTGAAATAAACATTTCCAAAAAAAAAAAAAAAAGAATAATAAATATTAAATGATAAATAATTTTTTTTTTCAAGTACCACAATTGTTTTTCCGCTTCAAATAACTAATTTATTTGAATATAATAAGGAATTTATTTGAAACAGATTTATTATTGATGGAAAACAATTCATTTTTTTTACTTGAAATGATTAAACAGATTTACTCAATTTGAATGTTTTTTTGCTGGAGATAAAGATTTTCGAAGAAAGGCTTATATTTGAATCAAAAGACCATTTTTTGGGTGTATTTAATTTTCTCAAATAAACTAATGGAATACAACAACGAAAAAATAGACGTTTTTAAAATAAATCATCACATTCATTGTTTCGATTCTTCGGGGTTTACATCCCTAAAACCGTGAGTTTTGTTGAAGCATAAATCTTTGCAAAGAGCCACTTTGCATCCCGCACAAAACTGCTCGCCGATGCACCAACACTCGGCCACAGCAGCACACAGTCCTGACAGAATTCCCACAGATGGCGCCAACCGTTGAAAATAAAATTGAAAATTATCCTCATTTTCTCAAAAATGGAAAGAGAAATAAAAATAAAAAATTATGCAGAGAAATTTCTCGAGGAAAAAATCGTGATCACAAAAGTTCTTTAAAAAAATGTAAATATCGTGATTCTTTATTATTGGATATTTTACCAATTGTTTCCTAATAACAACTATATAAATTTAATGAAAAACCACATTGAATACCCTAACAAGAATGCTCTATTCTTTTCATACGTATTGGCTTTTCCCATCGAAATCCCTCCCATAATTATTAACTGCAGGAGTGGTAGCCTAGTCTGCAAAGGACAACTTCCGTTTACACTCTTCCATCAGATCTCTGTACGATCTCGTAATATCCTTAAACTTCCTCTCATGTTTCTTCTTTTCTTCTGGAGTTGCATTCGAGTGGCGATCAGGATGATGCAGCAATGCTTTATACTTGTATGCTTGTTTCAATTGGTCGATCGAGAGATCTCTGCTCACTCCCAAAATCTCATAGTGATCTTGCTTCACCGATGACAATATCTTCTCAGCATCGTGGATCAATTTCAGGCATTCATCGGTCGGATCCAAACCGTAGACTCTTGAAAAATCAGCGATTGCTTCTTCGCAATTCTTGATCTCCATATAACTCTTCCCCCGTTGTTTCAAAGCTTTGATGAGATTTGGATCGATAGCTAAAGCTTGCGAGTATTCTGCTATGACTCTTTCGAATTCTTTCAGTCTGTAAGACGCTTGGCCCATGTTAAATAACAATTTCTTTTTAATTGCAGTATTACCAGGATCAATCGTTAATGCTGATGAGTAAAGATCATGTGCAACAGAGAAGTTTCCAGCTATAAATTCGTTATTGCCTTTTTTTCTCATGTCCACAATTTTCTTAGCTTTCTGCAAGAATCGGAACATATTTTCAAATTAATTATTGTAAAATAATTGACGCAAGAAACAATGAGACAATGAATACATTTTCAAGTATATTTATTTAAACCCTGGCGAATAAGGATCCATGTTGTAGCATGGATGTAGCATGGATGTGCATGAATGTCATTTTAAGGCGAAAAATGGGCCAAAAATGATTGGAATATAATCAAAAAATTATTTAAATGCTGATAGACAAACAATTGGTCCCAATTAATACCCATTAATAGGTTATTTTGTATAATTAGGAGAAATTATTGATGGTGTGCTGTGTGGTAAAGAAGTTCAGATGGGAGAATGCCGCGAGATGGCGCCAGTGTTAAATTATCGAGTCGGCGGTAAACTGTCAGCAGTCGCAG